AAAATACACATTTGGAGGGAATGTCAATGAGGTGCCAGAAGGCAGAAGGCATCATTCTGTAGAGATTCTGTGCTGGCAGCCGAAGTCAGGGGATGTGGCAACAGAAGGGTTTTGTTTTTCTGGAGCCAGGCTCCTCCACCTCCCACCACAGGAGTTCCTCAGCCTCCACATCCCACTCTGAGGGCCAAAGGTCCATCTGGTGCTTGCTACCCTGACAAGCCATTTGCCCCAAATTCCAAAATAACCCCTTTGAATCTCCTGTTTATTCCCTTTTGGCTTTAATGACCCTTTTCAGCTGAATGTTGGGAGAAAAGCAACTGATTGACATAACTCATGGCCACAGGTAAAATCAGGCGTCCTCAAACTACAGCCCGCGGGCCACATGCGGCCGCCTAGGACATTTATCTGGCTGGCTGGGTGTTTTTGCCGCCACTGCCTGTCCTGCTTAGCATCCGACTAGTCCTGGGGCCCGCAGTCTGGCCCTCCAAGGGTCTAAGGGACAGTGAACTGGCCCCCTGTTTAAAAAGTTTGAGGACCCCTGGATAAAATTAAGTCTTACTATTCCTATGAGGCATTTCCATCCTAGAAGACGAATCTGGTATATGTCCAATGCCAGGTAGATGCAGTGGCTCAGTGGAAAGTTACTCTCTTTCCTCATCCCTCTGATTCTTTACTGGTTTTTCCAAATGCATTACCTACTTCACTAAATTGTAGCCAGGTATGCCGCTGATGGCTGTTCTGCACTCTCTCATCATAGATGCTGGTGGGAAAAGTGGGCAGGGATGAATCTGAACATCTGTATCTTTCACTAAGCTTCTAGCAAGCCACATTCATGGATTCGTGATATAATACATTCAACATTAACTTTCCACAGAACTCAAGTCCAGGGGTGGAATGGATAGCAACCTGCCACATCCACTGGAAGATTTTGGGAGGCCTTTTATGGTTCCTCAATACCATCATGACCAGTCTGTCTGCCCCTCAGTTCAGCTCCCTGGAGCCCCTAGGTCAGGATGTTCACAAATGTTACTGAGTTTCAGCTCTATGTTGGGCCCTTTTTGGTCCTTGGTCTTGTAGGTACTGGAAATAGCTCGGTGACTATGTCAATCCAGGGCCCTCAAGGAAGACAGCTTGTGAAAGCAAAAGACTGTCAAAGCTGTGCTCCATCCTGGGCAAAGTACAGTCAGTCTTAGAAAGAGGTTTTCTTGCTTTCTGACCTGGAGGCTTAAATATACTGGCACCAGTTTCAGAGGTTCCGCTGGATGTACATAAATGTAGAACTAGCCTCTTCTACTGAGAGGGAGCGGCTTTTACCCTGCCCAGCTGACACCTATGCTGTTGATTAATAAATGCGGCACAGGCCCATGAAGACAAGGCGGTTAAGCAAAGCTGAGGGCAAACAAGCTCACAGCAGTCCACAGTGGCTGATGTTTAACCTGACTCGCTTTTATGAATAGTTCTTAAACACCGAAAGCACGAATAGGCACAATGTAGGAACGTATTACACACCTTTTGGGTGCAGGACATAGCTACAAGAGGGACTCTATGGAACAAGTTCAAATATTGAGACTGGCTTTTTGTACCTTCACATTAACCTGAAATTTAAAAAAAAAAAAAGTATGACAAATATCAGTATGATTATCCACAGGAAATGGGACCTGGGATTCATAGAGACTTAATTTAGTCCCTCAAACCAATGCTCAGATTTAGCCATTCTCCCAAATGTCTGGAAAGAGAAGTGTTGCAGACAATCTCATTTCCAAATCAAAGAGGCCCCCAGAGGAGGTGGGCCAGGGAAAGACTGGTTCATAGGCTTTAAAGATTGTAAAAAAAGAAAAAAAAATCCTGAAAACTAAAAATCTTTCGTTAGTGCTAGTGGGGGGCCTTAGTGTTTTCATTAGAACAAAGTCGCGGGGTTCACCCCGACCTGACACACTCAACCCAGCCAGCATCCAGCACCGGCGCGACTGCGTCGCCGCTACCGCGGGAGAGCGGGACAGGCCAGTCACGTTGTTTCCCTAAAAGGGGCGCGTCCCCTGGTGGACACGAGTTTTGTGTTTCTGCCGCCTTCCTGGGCCCCGCCTGCTTCCTGTGCTACAAGTAGCCCAAGACTGAGAACTCTTCAGAAGTTCTCCCGGGCTTCCCGCAGAGCTAGCTTCTCCCGCAGCCCGGGGAGTGCAAGGCGCGGCGCGCACGCGGGCAGGGCGGCGCGCGGGTCCCGGCCCGCCCGGCTCAGACGCGCTCTCGCAGCAGGTGCCGGCGCACGTGGGGAGCCGCGGTACCAGGTGGCGTCTGGGGTGGGGTCGATGAAGCGCAGCCTGAAGAAGATGTTGCGCCCGGGGGAGAAGAAGGAGTCCCAAGGCGTGGTCTACCAGGGCGTGCAGGTCGACATGGACGACTCCAAAGAATCGCTGAAGGTAACCTGGGCGATCGGCGGTCAGGACTGGCTCCCCGGTCCGGGGGAGGGGGCATGTGGCTTGAGGTTTCCTTGCGGGCAGCCCTGGAGTAAGAGGACCTGAAGGAGGAAGCGTGGAGAGGCTAGGAGATGGATACTTAGGGGTGTGTGTGCGTGTATGTGCGTGCGTGTGTGTGTGTGTGTGTTCCCGAGAGCAGACCTCCTCCCGATGCGCGGAGCTGCGGGGCCGGCTATGCACACAGTGCTCGCTTTCTCCTTTTGGTTTGCTTGCTTATTCAACCTGTTTTTGCTCCTGGATGGGCCACTACGGTCAGGAGAGACCTACTCAAAAAGTACCTTTGGCGTGTGGCGCAACCTGGCAACTGCCTAAAATCAGGACAATTTGGAGTGTGTCGATTTCATTTAGCATCTCACAGCCTAATCAATGGCTGTAGCTGGGAGTTGCCACATGGCTACTCCAGCCAGAGGTGCTTGGGAGTTGAGAAAGGTTCTTGTCTAATCCAATGGAATAGAGGAACCAACACCAGCGAAAGAAGGGTCTGGAAGAATGCTTGGGAAAATGCAGGGGGCACTTGTGAATTACTCTTCCTGGGAGTGGGGTGTCAGGAAACCCCGCGGAGGATGAGACCTTCCGAAGATGAGTGGGTGGTCTCCCGGGGCTGCTAAGGCCTGGGCTGGGGACTTCTGTTCCTATGCACTTCTCCGGACAGTGTGACCCACGGTGGCACAAGGCCTGATGTCATAGTCTGAGGGATAGAGGCTGCTTGGTGCTCAAAACCCAGCCCAGGACTTCCTCAGATTGCCAGCAGGAGGAAAGGGCTCTTTTCTTTCTTCTTCTCCTTGTTTTCTTTTTTATTTCAGGTTAATATGAGAGTACGAACAACTAGGTTACAATGTTTGCATGTACTAGGTAGAGTCCCACATCCAACTTACATTGTGCCCATTGTAAAGGTCTCTTTTTAAGAGCTGAGATGTCATTAAACATTCTCTGCAAACTCCCATGGCAAGTCTCTCTGCACAGTGGAACCATGTAAACAGTATGATATTTTCCAGGAAAAAAAAATACACAAATACACATGTGTTCATACATCTTTAAAAAATTATTTATAACAGTATGAAGTCAGGGGGATTTTCACTTTGATTTATTCCAAAATGCATAACACTATTCAAATTAGCCCCTGGAGATATTCCTCTCTCTTTTTAGCAGCTTGGCAGTATTCCTTGTGTGAATACATCGTGATTTATTTAGCCAGTCCCACACTGGTGGACACTGAAGGCATTTTCCTTTTCATTTTGTGTTGCTGTTACACACATGATTGTGTCTGTGAGTGCAGAGGTGTCTTCTCTGCCTCTCGGTTCATACCTTTGTGGGAGTTACAGTCCTGGCAGGGTCAAGACCTTTACAGCTTTAATTTTGGTAGAAATTGCCAAACTGCTGTCTAAACAGGTTACACAAATTGTTCTTCTTGTCAGTCACTTGTCATCAGGTACGTGTAGCAAATCACACACGCCAAAAGCTGGGCGTCCCCAGGCAAGTCTGTTTGCATGTCCAAGTTGATCCCAGACATTTTTACGGTTTTGTCTCCTTTTTAATATTCACTTCTTAACTGGTGCCATTTGGCTCCCTGGAAAGATCTGAGTCCTGAGTGGATTTCAACTGCACCTTGATATTGAACAGGAAGAAATTTTTAAATTTCAAAAGTTATCCATGTGGTTTTGTTTCCTAGAGACATTTGCCAAAGGATTTCTGCAGCTCAGCGTTTCAAATGTATTTTTCTTACTGTCTTTGTCTTTATTTAGCTTTATTGCCTAAGTAGAGACACTTATGTTATTGAAGGCTTTTAGAAGCTACATTAGAAGTTGCAGATTAAGGTGTTTATATATTTTATTTTATTAACTGAAGTAATTACAGATCATTTCATAAAAATCCCAATGGTTGAATTTATTACAAAGAAATATATGTAACACTGTTAAGCAGTTCGGACTCTACAGATTTTTTGGTAGCTTGCTAATGTCAAAGGTCAAATATTTAGTGTATAACATATTTTCTCCAGCACACACAGTAGCTCAGGAATGCTAAAAAAAAAAAAACAGAAGGACCAAAGAAAACTTAATAAGTGAGAAATATGGGGAAAGAACCATCAGACTGATGTCTTTAGTCTTTTCTAATTTTTTCAAAACAGTGACTGCATAATCTTTCTCTTTATTTTCCTCCTTTTTATTTTTTGCCTCATCAAAGCAACTTTAAACAAATTATTTGATATCTCTGTGTTCAAGGGCTTGGTTAGAATTAGCCTCTCTAAGAGTGATCTGGTCCTTTATGTTCTGAATCTATTCATATAGTTTGGAATCAAGAAGAATATGAAGTGACCCTGAAACAATAGGAAATGATATTGAAGGTATAATGATTTGTCTAAAGGACATCCTTTCAGAATTTTGAGAAATTTCTTCAAAGCCTTACAACAGGTCAGGTGGTGAATTGATACTGCCTAGCACATCTGAGAGTCTCAGGTGAAGTATTCAGATGCCGTTTACCATTGTGAATTCAGTAGCACCTTGTGAGTATCTGAACCTAGTACTTCCTCTAAAGCGTGTGGAATGGGCTTGTGTTGACAGCACCTCCCGGAACAGACCCTGTGCTCTTTCTGTCACTGGGCAGTGCAATCCCTTTATCATCACCTAAAGAACATATCGAATTCTAGGAGCTAAAATGCTTCTCAGTGGATATAGGTAAACACTTTCTTTGATAGGGAGAGACACTGAGATAGAGCCTATTTCTTCGAGAAACTCATTTTTTAATTTATTACTAAACATGTGTAAATCTGGAAATGGTTGGCCACTCAGTGTCATACCCTGTAATCACTAAAGCTATAGCTAGCATATGTAGAATTCAATGTTTTAGTTAAAAAGGGGACACATTTATTTAAAGGGCTACCAAAGAAAAGTGATTTTTAGGTGCTATTCTGTGACAACAGAAGCAAAAACCGAAGTCGAAAATTTTAAGAGATTACGTTTTATTTCAACCTGACACTGAATGAATGAATCCAAATGTGCTGGACTCTTTATTAACTATATTAAAATACATTAAGTATTTTAATACTTCCTTTTAATTGATCAAGTTTCTTCACAGTAGTGAGAAATCCTCAGGTTATTATAAACCAACTTTGTAACCATTTAGAGTTTTGACACTATGTGGCAAATGTGACCGGTTGTGGTCAAAGGTAGAATTAAAGCAAGACTCTGGACCATTGATTTGAGGACGATTTCCACATTTTCAGGAAATAGTAATTTCACAGGGGTAGCCATGAAAATGGACTCTCTCATAGAAGGTTTTGCTTTTGGTCCAGATGATGAAATGTCTGCTAAGACGTGGCTTTGGAAAAACTTCAGGCAAATTTCATTTGGTCACATATTTGCAAAGGTGAAACACTGAGTAATCATTTAGTCTGTGTATTTCCATAGGACTGGAATGAGGTCCTTTTTAACTTCTTCTATTTTTAACATGGATTTTTTTAAGCCTCTAGGGAACTGTGAAAATTCATCATAGTCTGGGGAAATTTTAGTGTGCATAAGGGTTCATGTGGTCTCACCTGCTCCTCTATGAGAGCTCTGATTTTTCCTTCCTATCTCCCTTTCTCCCTTCTTTCTTATTTCTTCCCTCCTTTCCTTCTATTCTTCCTTCCTTTCTTTCCTCCCTCTCTGGAAAAATTATTTGCAAGGATGAAAGTATCATGGAAATAGAAGTATACACTGGTAGTACATATTTAGCAACACAGTATAGAATGAGAGATTAGGAAAGAACTGGAGAGTGTTTCTCAAATTTTTTGTCTCAGAAGTCGTTTCAACTTAAACAATATTAAGGATCCTGAAAGGGGCTTGTGTATGTGAGTTACATACTTATCCTATTGGAAATTACAGGGGAAGAATATCTTAAAACACAGGCATAGCACACATCCAATAACTATCAGTGCTGTGAGGTCACCACACATCTTGTGGTATCTGGAAAACAGGGTGAACTTGAGAAAAAAGAGAGAAAGGCTGGGCTGAGGATGGTGCTCTAGAGCTGTCCGGGGGACCTGCTGGAGCAGGGACACTCTCAGAGGGCTCTAGGAAGGTAGGGGGGCTGAGAACAAGGAAAGGAAGGAGGCCTTTAGTTCTACTGCATATACAAGTTTATGATCCAAAAAACCAAAATCATCTATTTGATAGATTGATCAATGTTTAGGCATTTGGTTATAACTTCTTTGTGTCTGTAAGCAAGTCGTGTATTCAAGAAAATTATTATCACGCCCTTATTATAGGCATGATAAGTAGTCTGGGATATTAAACTTGTTAAGGCTATAAAATGATTAACTTTATAAGCTTTGCATATGCTGGTTTGAGGTAACGGTTTTTTGTATACCTCTAGGTGGTTTTTGAAGGAAGTTCATGTCGAATACGAAGCTTTATCAAGAGGCAAAAGAGCATAAGTGGCAAGAATGAGAGGAATTCCTCCCCTCTGCATCACGCTGCCGCAGAAGGTGAAGTGGAGATGATGGAGATGATCATCAAAGATTCCTCTTGTGAAGGTAAAAAAAAAACAAACGACCATAAGTGTTCCCTAACTCTATTGTCCCATTAGATTCGTTGGAAAAAGTGGTATGAAGTGATTCTGAAGGGTAGATCCGTGCCAATAATAAAAGACCTGGGTAGCTCATTCAGGAGTGTGGGTTTCCCTACAGACCAGCACTCCTCAAATCTTTCCACTGAAATATTGCAAAAGATAGTGCAGAGATCTGGGACGCCCCATCGTAGCATCGACTTTCTTTGAATTTTTAGATAGATGGTAAAATTTCATATGCATTTTACGTACTCTTCCACTGAGGTTATTCTAATTTAAATTATTTATCATTGAATAAACTTGACACCTCACGAAGAGGTCATATCCCCCCTATCCCAGCCTTGCACACTAAGCCTTGTTTGAGAAATTCAACTATAGGTAATGAGGGAGGTGGATGCCCCAGGGAGTTAAGCCATGAGGTGCTGTGATACCACCTTTCTGATGAAAGATCCTTCTGTCAATATTATGGAAGGTGGACAAAAACTGTTTTAGTCATAAAGAGAGGATGAGGGTCCACCCTACTGTGAGGCTAAAATAAGGAGAAAGGGAGAGATTCAGGAGATATTTGCAGGTAGAGTCAACAGTACTCAACAACAGAGTGAATATGAAGAGTCAGTGGCCTGGTGTTGGATACCTTGAGGTACCTAATGTAGGAGATTAGGCTACTAAGATAAGCATCCCTAAAAGGAGGCATATAGAAAACAGGAAAAAAGTGAGCTTGAGGGTGGAAGGAGATTTGATCATATGGAATTCGAGAGGCTAAGGGGACATCAGTTGGAAATAGGCCGCAGACAACTAGAAATACAGAAGAAAACCTCCAGGGTCCATGTCGCATAGCAAGTAGACGAGACCGTGGAAATGCATTAAAAATTCTTCAGGAAAACCTTAAAATTACTAACAATGGTAGCTAAAGGTAGAGGACATTAAGAGTCAGATGGCAGAGGAAAAGTCAGAGAAAGAATGAAGGCAATGATGGATAAGAGCTTGATGATACAAATCTAAGAGGGACATTCCTGGGACAGGTGAGTGAGAAGGAGCAGTTCCCACAAAGAGACCAGGTAGGAAGGAAGTCACACGAAAGCCCTCACTTCCAAGGCCCGAGGGACCTTTATAAAGATGATTTCCAAAGAGCGGTGAAGATGAGAACCAAACTCAAGTTATTTAATTAATGAATATCAGTTTGTAAGTATAGATCCCTGTTTAATTAAGTTTGATGCCAAATTGAATGAAGAACACTGACTCGTCTTGATGAGACAGAATGGTCAAGGGATGTGCGTGAGGGCGTGTGTGACTCTGGGGTGTGTGCGTGTGTGTGCGCGCGTGTGTGTGTGTGTGTGTGTTGAGAATGAGGCACATGAAGAATGAAAGGAGAAAGTAGAGAGAAAAACTGTTAAAAAGTAGAGAACAGAAAACAGGAGTACATGGTTCCAGGAATAGGTGGTTCTCAAGTCACATTTATGAGCAAATACTTTTCCTCCCACCCCAGACGTCAGCATAACTGCCAGGAAGTAAATGGTTGGGGAAGCCGACAGCCATAGGACATGCAGGATGGAAGGACATATTATTCTTATGCTGAGCTCACGGGGGAAATAGTTCTACCTGCCTGTATTGTATTGTAGAAATACATGGAAACTGTGTGCATTGAGACATAGCTTGAATTCTAATCTTGCGGTTTATCAGTGGTGTGTCTGTTTTCCCATTAACATTTTTGAACCATTGCTATCTATTGCCCAGGCATTTTGCTAAAACCTTTAAAGACGTGATTTAGTATTTTCTCCTGACAACATTGCAAGGGTTGTGTGTGTGTGTGCGTGTGTGTGCATGTGTGCGTGCATGTGAATGTAGGTATCTTTTTAAAACTTATTTATTAGATTTGAATATGAGACTGCTGAGGTTCAAAGAGGTTGAGTAACTTTCATACAGCCTCACTTATGTGATGTGAGCCAGCCTGTTAGCCTCTCAAGGCTTCAGCATCTTCACCTTTTTGTAAATTTGTCGCGGTGGTACCTTGAATGAAATAATGGTCATGTGGAACCCGGTAGAGTGCCCAGAGTTCTTACTGTCCCATAACATGGGGGTTTTATCACAATCCCTAGCTCTTGCCGTTAATTAACCTTGGTGTTTAATCACAATCCCTACGTTCCTATACACATAAAAACATACAGTAAAGAGGGCTATTTCTTATGAATGCTCTCAATAGAAATTTAACTCAATTAACCAAGTCAATGGCATGCCTCTGTTAATTCTTGACAGGACCCGTTTGATGTCTCATGTCCATGAGAATTGAAGCTGTACCTTTATTTTTTATAGAGAAGACGCAGCTGAGCAGAGCAGCGCTTGGCACTGAGTTTGAAGTGAATAAGCAAACCCAGGAAGTGTTGGACATAGTCCCAACACAACTAAATGTATCTTTTGGTGTCTTTCTCCAGTGCTGAACTCAATGGACGATTATGGAAATACCCCTCTGCACTGGGCTGCAGAAAAAAACCAGGTTGAAAGCGTGAAGTTTCTTCTCAGCAAAGGAGCGAATCCAAACCTTCGAAACTGCAACATGATGGCGGCCCTTCACATCGCCGTGCAGGCCATGTTTAATGAGGTGGTGAAGGTGAGCATGCTGGCTGGCTCCCAGGGAGCTGACTGACTGTCAGAGCCCGGGCTGGCTCCCAGGCCTGGCTGTCTCTGCCTGGGCATGATGGCTACCCTATGCTGCTGGGCTTATGTACCAAGCATGTTTCAAAGAGTTTTGTAGGGTTGTAGTTTATGAAATCCTCACTTTAAAAATCCCGCTATGAAAGAAGATGATTAGTATCCCCATTTCATAGCTGAGTACACTAAGGCCCAGAGCAAATTGAATAACTTGCTTAATGTTGCATAACTGGTGAAATCAAAGATACAGGAATTTTGGTCTCATCTTTGTGTTTCCAAGTTCAAGATGTATCACTTTTACCCGATTGATTAATGACTAAAAGGGAATGAGGGCCTCAGTGAAAACAGAAAACATCTTTGTAATTTGTTGTTTTTGTTAGAGGGATTAGTTAGCACAAGGTGTAATGATACTACTGGGAGATTTCTTACTGTTTTTCAAGGTTTCAAAGTAAGTCTGGTCAAATAGAGGAAACCTTGGTAAATACCTAAGGGGTAAGAGTTAGGCCATGGTTTTCAACTCTTATACATCTCCGAGTCTCACAGACACACTGGGATACAAACATACTGACCTAAGGAAGAATGCGGTTTACAAACGGATCATGGTCCAGAAGTTCATTTCTAAGATAGGCTATTTGGAATGTACAGTACATTTTCCTGTAAAACAATACTGCAAATGATGATCTGGCTCTTGTGGTAGACCACAAAAAAGCTAATTGTCTATAAATCACCAAAGAGATCCATGAGTTTCAAGTTCCCTGTAGCCCCAAACCTTTTTCTAACCCCTCTGAGACCGTGGCTCCTTTGAGTGTGGCACAGAGAGTGTGGAGCCTTCCGGCTCTCTCACTGATCTCATGGACGGCTCCATCGCAGTTCTGAGAAGGTGGTATCACAACCATGTATTCGTGTGTTTTTCTCACCTAGGGCTGGCTATCCTTAAAGGAGGGATTAGTTGTGTCTAACTAATCTAAATATCTCCAGTCCTCAGCCCTGTACTGGCAAATCACAGCTGTTGAATGAATGAATGAATGAATGAATGAATGAACAAGTAAACGGGAGTTCTGGCTGAAGGAAAAAGGGGGAGCTGAGGTATCCCCACACACGAAGATGAGTCTGGGCAGCCCCTGAGCAGGTTACTAGAAAGGCCTCTGGGGAGGCTGGGTTTTCTTTTTTTTCCCCTAACATCTACATTATTCATGAGCTTCCATATCATCTGCATTGGGCCACATGAGTGCCTGCAGGGGCTCCCCCCAGAGATGTCACATATTTCCCCCTGGAGCTCTTATGCTTCCTCCCAAGGCTCTTTCAGAAACAAATGTCCCTTAGCTTAATTAATGTTGGCCCTGAAAGTGCGATTTGGGAATTCAGAGGCAGGTAACAGTTGGAAGGCTATTGCTAATTAGAAGGACGATATCTTCAGGCTAACTACAGAAAGGGAGATATCACAGAAATAGAGAAGAAAATTCAGCTGTAAGCTTATGACTGATTTATAAACTAGATGGTGGACATGAAAGACATTTGGCTGGGTGACCCGAGAACAAGGAGCCAAACAGGGTTATAAAAGTTATGACTAAAATGGTCTCTTCCTTACTGGGTCTTGCCAGCCATAACTATGTCTGAAAATATTTTCAAACCACTTTGGTTCACCAGCGATCATGAGGGTGGGAAGAGGAGGAGTTGTAGTGTTTCCCCTCATCCTTTCACACAGCAGTCCTCCCCACTGGCCTCCCCCAGTGACACCCAGGGGTCAGCCCTGCACCCACCCAGGGGTCAGCCCTGCACCCGCCCAGGGGTCAGTCCTGCACCCGCCCAGGCCTTGCTGGTTTAACAGGCTGCTCCACCAGCCTTCCACCAAACCTTTTCCCACTGCCTGTATGGTTGTAAATAAACAATTTTGCCTCACCTCAAGTTCCTGGACAGATGACCAGTGGTATGTGTCATATTCCCTGGGAGATGTTGGCCTGGGGATTAAGGGAATCCTGTCTCTCAGCAGTCTGCAGGCCTTAGTCCTTGAGGCTTAACTTCAAAGTAGCCAATAGTTTGACCCTTCCATGGGGCTTTCTAGATTCTTATCAAAGGGACCTCTAGAGAGCTCACCTGCAAGCCTTCCAGAGCTGCCTGGACATGACCACAGGTGAAGTAGTTGCACAGTTTAGTTGGTCTCTCTGGGACTTCTGCCACATACGATGTAATACGGCTTGTTGAAAGACCGTGCTCATGATAGCATAATAACTAATACATGTTACAGATCTATCAGCTATGATTCCAGGAAGGCAAAGAAAGAACAATTTCTTCTTGTAGGCTTTGGTAGGTTATTTTACATGTGAACCTGAATTTCATAAGGATGATGTGAAGGTGCCTGAAGTACACAGAGGAAACTTGTGTCCTCATTTCCCTTCATCCATCAGTAATTTCCCTGTTTGTTCTACTGTACTGAAATCTCAGTTTAATTTTCTTTTACCAGCCGAGCTAATTAATGAGCCTGAATCATTTGCTACTCTCTCTTAACAAGTGGCTCTTGTAGTAGGTTGTGTAGTCAAGGATTTTATAGAACAGCTTGCTTAATAAATTTCTTAAAATAATTTAATTCATAAACACATGTCATAGTTTTATCATAGTCTTGGTGTAAGAGGACAGGCCTCTGGTAGACTAATTCAAAGGTTTCTCTCTTGATAAGACCTTTAGATGAGAGAATTTTGCTACATTGACTATAAAATAAAGAATCATTAAAGAGTGATAGACTCTTGGGCAATAATTAACAGGTAGCCAATCAGGTGAGAAGGGTACAGGTCTTCAGTAAAATTCTATCAGAAAAATTACTTGACCATTTTATCAGCATGCTAGTGTCTTTTATGGTACAAGAAATTTCTGTTGCAGACAAAGTTTGAATTAATTGAATTAAGCTATAGTTGACCGTTACACATTGACATTCCCCAGAAAGCTTACAATCTAGGCAAGGAAAAATGACCACAGGGGAAAAAGAAATCATTCCCTTCCTCTCTCTTTCTCTCTCACTTTTCCCCTTCTCCTTCCATTTCTCCTCCCCCGTCAACTTCTTCAAAATGGTTCACAAATTTATTTTCTTGAGAATAACAGTTAGCATAGCTTACTTAACGCAGGTGAGAAGTATTAAGTGAAGCTGTGTAAACTAGTATCTACAATTCTTATTCTATTCCCAATTCTGAAACTCAGTATTACCTTAATGGATGTGATATTGAACTCGTCATTATTTCATCGATTTCAGAAATGTATTTATTGCTAGGTTTTATATTATTTTGTGTCAGAGAGGGATGAGGAATCATAAATAAATATGGTCCCTGGCTTCTTAAAATCTAGTGGGAGACAAATACCTTATTTGGAAATCTGTGGTTTCGCTTTTTGACAATTATTCTCCCCTTTTAGGTCTTGACTGAGCACAGCAGTATTAATATTAATTTGGAAGGAGAAAATGGAAACACAGCTGTGATATTGGCATGCACCAAAGATAACAGTGAAGCACTGCAAATTTTGGTTTGTATATTAATCAGATGTTCTGCTTTCTTTATCTTTTCATGAATATAACATGAATTATTGCTACTTATATTAGTTCTTTTGTTATACTTTTTAGCAAAATGTATGACAGGTCAGAAAAAGTTAGTTCCTTATGGTTTTTTATATATGCACACCACTTAAGTGGATCTCAGATTGCTTATAGAAAAATGACAATAAAATATTAGAGAAAGCCAGAGAAAATCACAGTAAAAAGAAAATATAGGCAGGAAAAAGTAACACGAAGCTGGTGGTCAGGTTAGAATACAAAATGCAACATACAATGCCTGTATGTTAATAAAGTCAGGTCAGACATTAGACTCAGGGTTAGTCAACAGAAAGATGAATATAGTCAATTGCTGACTTCCTGGGCCCATAGATAAAGTCAAAAGAAACACAGCCACTCCTGTTCCCAAGAAAAGAAGAATTGCTGCCATGGCTTCTCAAAATGGAACTCCGTGTGACTTAATGGCCAAGGTCCTTAGCCACATCCCTGAGAGCAGAGCAGCCTTCTCTCTGGTGAGGCAGCCTAGGGTGGGCCAGTAAAAGGCTGCAGATCCCTCAGTGACTCCTGTGCCCTGTGAGGCTCCTTCCTGAGTGTGCTGTTAGAATCCCAGTGAATAACTGTCTTTCAGATAACTTCTTGAATCACTTTCATATTATCCAGGCCAAGTTCAGTATTTTTACCGCTTGAATTTGCCTTTTCACCACCCAAGAGAGTAGAAAAATGAAATCAAAGAACTTCAAAATATTTGCCTGCTGTTGAAATACACTGTATTTAAGGTATTTAAATGCCTGATGCTTCACTGTTTTAAGGTATTTACTAGATGTACTTAAGGGCAAATACATACTCTCTAAGTTGTCATTGTTGGACCTAAAAGAGAAGAAATAATGGAGAGTAAAAATAGCTGTCACTTCTATTCAAATCAAGAGATTAGAAAAAAGAACCTTAAATTAACAAAACAGATTGTCATAAAGAGGAAATAAAGTTGAAAACACTTTCAAAAACAACATACTTTTTAAAATATTATTTCTTTGCAAATGCAATATTTATGTGTACATTGTATGACCGTATTGTTTGAAAAGTTTTTTTCTTAACGATATTCTTTAATAATGTGATTTTATGAAGTATCATTTTTGGATACACAATTTTATATGTATATATATAATAATATGATAATGTGATTTTATATGTATATATATA